TCTTGCGTACCAGCTTGAAGGGTCGACCACAATGGACCCGCGGCATTTGGCTCTCCAAGACAGCCAGCAATGACTGCCATATCATTTTCGAAGATGTGGACCCTCAGGCTATTTCAGCCGAGGCGGGGGACGGCAAATTGGATGCCCCTGCTGACACAGAGCAGCCAGCAGAATCTTCTGGTGATGTTGCCTTGGACACTGGTCACTCTGGCATGGCTCATGGAGACGCAGCTCCTGAAACTCCTTTAGAACATGGTGAAAAACACGATGCTGAGCATGAAGTCGAAGGTGGTGCACCCAAGCGCTCACATGTGGAAGGTGTTTCTTCTTCCTCGCATGGTGATGTGATGATGTGATCCCGCAAACTCCAATTGCTGAAGCAGGTAGTGAAATATTGGATGACACGCCATTTGAGCAAATGGCCTCTCCACAGAAATCTGGACGACATGACTTGTTGGGATGCATACGCAATGTCGAGGCACTCGACATCGAGCCTAATGTTTCTCTGCAGTCTGATGACTTGGATACACTGATCCAACATGAAATGACCTTGGATGATGACCCATATGAAACTGGTTTGGATCTCAAGGAGAGCCTCAAGAAGCCCATACTCTGCGCAGGAACCCAACGTTTCTTCAGAGGAACTGCAGAGGCTTGATGCGATTGCAGACCAAGTGGAAGTCCAGCGCCTTTCAGGTCTGCAAGTGCTCAAAGAGGACAACTTGCCCTATGATGGCAAGAGCTTGAGCACAAGGTTTGTCGGAACGTAGAGAGAGAAGAAGGATGAGTCTGGGAATGCAATCTGGTTGAGAAGGAGTCGTCTAGTGGCTCGCGAATACACATGGCTGCAACCAGACAGGGAACTTCCAATGTGGCTAGCAGGATCTTGCCAATCTGCTTTCTCAGTCTTCGAGAACACCTAGATGCGGTGATGGCCTCCTCGATGCTTTCTTGACAGTGCAGCAGGAGGTGCCTACACGTGTGACTTACACCGATGCTGCTAGCTCTTCAGTGAGCTATAGTCAATAGTCTTGGCCGTGTCTTGCCGGGACAGCGTGGTGGAAGTCTTCTCTGATACAAGGATCTTGCAAGATTCGTGAGGGAATGCTCTCTGGAAATGGTGGAATTCAAACCCTATCCAAGCATTCTCAAAAGCAAAAATGGTGATTGCTTTCTCATGATCCATGTGGATGACCTCTTGGTGGTTGGAACTCGAAAAGCGGTGATGGAAGAGCTGACCCCCGCACTCAAGACCAAGTACACTGTCTCCGTTGAGACGATGAGCAAAGGCGGGGACGAAGTCAGTTTCTTGAAGTGCTCTTACTGCTTGATGGATGATGAAAGGATGGTGATCAAGTGTCACCACAAGCACTTGGGTCAGCTATGCAAGCTTCTTCACATGTCCCAGAAGGTTCAGTGCAAAAAGACGCCAGGTCACTCTGAGATTGAGAACCCAGACAATACCAAGGAACTCTCTGCACATGACGCTTCAGTCTTCAGGTCATGTCTGGGTATCTTGCTTTACCTCTCGGGTGACTTGCCGCAGTGTCAGTACGTGATCAGGTATTTGTCCACTTTTTCTTCGAAGCCAACTGAGAAGGCAATGGTTGTCTTGCGACATCTGGTTGGATACATAGCAGCTCATGCAGATCAATGTGTTTCTCTGAAGTGGAAAGGGATTCACTCCGGCGTCTTCAAAGACTACCAGATGGAAGATCCCATTGTAGAGGGTTTCAATGATGCAGATTGGGCGGCAGACAGGCAAACACGCCGATCTGTTTCTGGAAGTGTCATTTTCTTTGGGACATGCATGGTCTACTCCTCTTCTCGAACTCAGAAGGTAGTATTTTTATTGAGCGCAGAGTCTGAAACATACGCTGCTGCTTCAGCCGTGATGGATGCCATCCTCATTCAGAGCATCTTCGCATGGCTTCTTCAACAGTGTCACATGTTGATGTGTTTGTATTTGGATTCATCTGTAGCAAGGGGTATACTATCACGAAAAGGGGTAGGCAGACTGAGACATCTGAGTTGTCGAGTACTATGGTTCCAAGATCTAGTTTCAGAGCGAAGATGGATGGTCAAGGCAGTTTTCCGTGCCGTGAACCCTGCTGACGTTGCAACGAAACGACTCAGTGCAGCCAGGATTGGTTCACCAGCTATTCCTCGGTCTTTGGTGTGGCCCAAACTGCAGTGTAGTTGGTGCATGGGACCCGGCCAACATTTTTCGTCATGTCATGTGAACATTCCATCAAGACAGCACATCAAGTCATTGATGAGCACTTCAGCGCCTTGGACTGAGACACAACTTCAAGGATGCACTGACAGCAATCCTTTTTTGTTTTCAGCAATGGATGTCGTGCCAGCTGAGTCCCAGTTTGCCATCAAAGTGGTGGTAACATGGCTGCTTTTGTTCGTTGGCTACGGTGTCTACTTGAATGCCAGCCTTGGAGAGGCGTCTGGAAATTTTGAGCCGCTGGACGAAGACACTGATGAGCTGAACAGTATGGGTGGAATCACGAGCATGGATGGAATGAGCAGCGTGGAGTCAAGCACAGGTGACTTCGACAGTGACGAAGGTGGGGTTGAGAATGTCGAGGGTCACCCAGCCTTCTCACCTGAAGGTTTGCTTCACTGGCTGTATGGAAGATGCACACGACGCGAGCTATTCGCAGCTTCCAATCAAGATCCAGCAAGGGTCTCAAAGTACCAACAGCGCAAATCACTGTTGCAGGAGATCACCTACCTGCACCACGCGAACTATGAAGAATATGAGAATGCCAGCAGTATGCTGCATCTGGTGGATGATCTATCTTCAGATGAAGATTCTCCAAATGGCCCCAATGGCCCACCAGGTGAACTCGTGACAGGCATGATGGCTGCAGCTGCTGTTAGTACAACTCTGGCGGGATGTGACAATGGAACGACTAGTGATGCAGGCGGCTTCACACTGAGCGTGCTGACCTTCGTCCTCACCACATCAACCTTGCTTTGCATGCTCTATAGCTGGTGGATGCTCCGAGCCAGCCCGTGGCATGACATGAACTACGTGGAGAAACCGCCTGTGACAGTTCTGATTCCAGCTGAACTTCGCACAACAGAGGAGGCAGAACCAGTTGTAGAAGGTTTGGTGACTCTCACACTGAAGGGAGTCCTTGGACGTCTGAAGAGAGCACAAGAAAGTTCAAACCATGGAAGAATGCTCAAGTACACGCAAGGGAAGAAATGGCTATGTGCCATGCTGACACATCTTCCTGTCTCCAACTTTGTGAGGAACAGGATGATAGAGAGTCTGACCGGCGACAACGAGCTGAGCTGAGACGATGAGTCCCCACTGCACGGGCATCCCACCGAGGTCATGGAGGAGCTGGTAAAAGCTTCTACGATAGCCCATGGCCACCTCATGGCGCTGCTGGAGTACGACAAGTGGGAAGCATCATGTGACCTGCTTAGGTCATTTGGTGAGGCCTTGCGCTCACCAGAGCCGGCGCCAATGGACGAGACTGGTGGGAACGATGACGACGACGATGATGACAGCATGGGAGGCCTAGATGAAACAGATAGCCATTTGAGAAGGAGGTATATGAACGACGGGATGTGCGAAGTCTCGGACCTTGACCTTTAGACTGATATGCACCTCGGTCCAGCAGACAGAGCTGGAGATGGTCAGGAAGAATTCTGCGAGGCAGTACCGCCAAGGAAATCAGTGGCTGCAACAGCGACAATGGCTGAGCAACTGCTGTAGCGCAACTTTTCACAGCACAGAACTCCAATAGAATGCACAACCTGGATTTGGAAGAGTCCTGAGGAGTACATAGAAATGATATTAGGCAAAAACTTATATCGAGGCGGGATGTTGTATATTTACGCAGGTGCAAACCCTGCAGAAACAGTAGGGTTGATGTCAGTCATTTGCATCGACAGCACAAATCGAGAAGTGTCACTCAGCGTGTATCGTCAGGCGCTTTTTGGTTCCAGAAAAGTTTGCAGGATGACATGTCTGGAATCATGCAAGGACGAATTGAAAAAACTGGAAGAGGCTTCATAAAACTTGTGATGGATTTCCAAAGAAAAAATCTGGAAATTGCATTGGCATCGCAAAGAGTTTAAGCCGTGCTCAAAGCTTTGAGGACGAATGCAAACAATTGCTTGTTGTGCTCATGGCAAGGATGACACGCACAAAACGATATGTAACAGTGCAATCAGTTGTGTTCAATCTATGTGCACTGGCATGAGTAGTATGTCAGGATTTTTCACATGCCACGCCCCTTTTGGCACAAAACAGTGCGCAGTTTCAGCTGAGCGTTTGCAAATCTGGAATTTGATATTAGATTTGGCAACATGTGTTTGTACGAACTGTTGGTGCCTGTGAGGCAGGCTCAAAAAATGTGATCGCAACATCAAATGGTGAAATTACATGCAAGTACGGCGGGTATATTTGTGAATGTGTGTTTTATTTGTGTTGTAGTTTATTTTGATTCATGTGATAACGTACCCACAAAAACAAAACAACAATATTTCGATCATCAGCAACGATTCGTCAGATGCATTGCCACATAAGCGTTTTTGATGTTAAATAAATTTTAGTTTTTGTCGACCACTGATTTTGCAGGATTTGTGCTCCTCGCAGACTTGCAGGTTCCTCACATCGTTTTTTTGTACGTTAACAAAATTTTACAAGACAGACCTCCCACCAAACACGAGTGAATCGTAACACCCAACAAAATGGCACAATATGATTTGACATTTTTTTTTCTAATTTATGTAATTTGAACATTTGCGAGTGCCTTGGCTCAGAACCTTTTGCAGATATGGCCAGGTCGATATTGAGTGACGGTGTACTCGAAGATGAATTGCTAACGTCCAACCAGTTTTTTTTTCGAAATATGTGGATATTTGGTGCCTGTTGTCAAAATTCCGCACAAATGGTTTATTTTTGGTCGCAAAAAGTATGAATATCATGTAGAGTGGAGTTCCAGATAGAGACCCAGGTGATCGAAAACAACCGCATGAAACGTACCATTTAGCATAGCAACATGGCGTTTTGCATCGGCCATTTGCTCAGTGGTTTGCGGCCAGTGGAGTAGCCATTTGCTGTTTGCAGATAACTGGATTGGAATGGGATAAGGTATAATCTGTAGTGCATAATTTACAATTTATATTGTATTATATTATACTATATTATATTATATTATATTATGTTATGTTATGTTATATTATGTTATATTATGTTATATTATGTTATATTATGTTATATTATGTTATATTATGTTATATTATGTTATATTATGTTATATTATGTTATATTATGTTATATTATGTTATATTATGTTATATTATGTTAGTAAATATATATATATATACATACATACACATACATACACATACACATACACATACACATACACATACACATACACATACACATACACATATAATATATATACATATACATATACATATACATATACATATACATATACATGTAGATATATATATATATATTCATTATACATATAACATATATATATACTATATATATACATATACATATATATATACACATACATATATATATATACATGTAGGTACTCATGGAGTGAACCGGAAAGATAACACATGATCACAACCGCAAACATAAACCAGATGTGGCCGATCAACTGTTCACGTTCTTTTGAAGGAATCTCAAATTCGCCTGGAGTTTTGGTTCAGCTGCACAATTTGTTTTTCAGTTGGTAAATTAAAATATATATATATATAATAATTTAATAAACTATATAATTGGGTATATTTTTCTTGGAGGTAGGGATATAAGGATATGAGGATACAAGGATACAGGGATATGGGGATTCTGGGATATAGGGATATGACATATCCCACATGGGGGATACATTAGTTTTTTGTATGTTTGAATGGTTGCCCAGGTGAAAAAAAAACATCCACTGACAGCACTGACCTGGAAATCCACTACCGATGACCAAAATCCTTGTGTTGGGGATGTCTGAAATTTGGACCGTTGGGCCATGTCCAGAAGCACATCCCCTTAGTGTTAATGACTATATTTTCCATTAAGGGGTTATTTTTGATCTATATGATGTGCCCTCCTGTAAACTAACATAGATGTGGAAAACTACCAATTCTAGATAACTTCCCTAAACTACCAATTGTAGATAGCTTCCCTAGGGAAACGAGGAATTTCCCACATCTATCTAAACATTTACGCTAGGGCACCCAATTTTTCAAAGCCACTTGAAGTCGACGGCGGCTTAGCAAAGGACCTTTTTGCGGAAAGTTCCGTGATGAGTTGAACGATTCAGACAGCGATGAGGACCGCAGCCCCGAAAGATGCTCTTTTTCGTGTGGATTGAACTGCCATAGATATTGAATTTTGACTTATCGCAAAGTGAATAACCGCTTACCACACCGGATGATCACTGTTCCTATGAAACAACCCCTGCAGGATTTCTCGTTTCAGATTGAAGCATTTCATTTTCATTTTCACTCCTCATCCTTGGAAAAACATCATCATTATCATCGTCACGACCACAGGGACGTTTGAAGACAAACATCTGTGTTTTTTGAAAAATGCCCTTTGAAGGATGGCACCTCATCTCACATCGTTTTCGTTCTTTATTTGTCCAGCAGGACGATGGAAGTAACATGAGAGCGAAGACCAAGGGAAAGGCGAAGAGGCCCTCGATCCAAATCAGCGGCCAATGGTGAAATCGATGAGATACTGCGCAGATACCCCATGGCAGGTTGGCCATGGTGTGACAACAGAAAGTCCGGGATATAAAAGATCCCTTGGCACAGTCAAGGTCTTTGGTGCCGTTGAACTAGTGAGGTAGGATGAGGGATGTTGGCCAAAGTTTTGTGCTGTTGCAACTGATTTCTACCCAAGATTGCTGTTCCCGATAAGAGTCGTTGTTTTGGTCTTCTCGACCTTAGATACCTCAATAATCCTCAATACATCTCAATTAAGGTTTGATGGATCCAAAGATAGCCATCTAATGGGGAAAATGGAAAATGGTGGTTTATCACCGCAGGATTTAGAGGTATATATGGAGCCATATCCTCTGTTTAGACAAAACCATATGGCTCCATATTGGAATCTTCCTAGTCTTGGAGGTAGAATTTTGTCAATGCTGAGAATCCTACCTAGCTCGTGAAACGTACCAAGAACCAACAACTCCTGGTGATCCGCTCGTCGGCGTTTCGACGGGAGGAAGAGGCCAAAGAAGGAACGTAACGTTGCCTCAACCAACATGATGTGGGTGAGGAGCTCGGCCAAATTTTGTTGGACTATTTGAGGTGCTGGTAACCCAAACTGTTGATAGATTTGATAGATAGCTTGGTATGTTCAGGACTTTGGGCCCCCATGATCTTCGTTGATTCGTTGATTCCCAGATTTTGGGATTCTCTGTGCAGCTTCCGCTGTGTGCCCACTGTGCCCACCGAGCACCAAAGGCTCCCTATCTGAGTGAAGTGAGGGTCTTGGTGAAGCGATCTGGGGCCTGGCGCCGAGTGGGAGGAGTCGAGATCGTGGGACTTTTTTCCCTAAAATAGTGTATATATATAATATATATATATATATGTATATATATATATATAGTATTATTTCATTTATTCTATTTATAGTCTATAGTCCTCGTATTTTTCCTAATTTATTCAGTGCTTCATAGTCTATACTCCTTTCATGTTTACTTCCCCAAGCCGACCAATTCCTGAAGATGGTCGAATTGTGGTTTTGGCAGTTTCCAATCAACAACAACACAATCTAGGGCCTAGGGTCACACACCACAGTTCATGCTTTGATTGTTGGTGATTTTGAGATCATTTCATGGATTATGAATGGTGTCTAATATCCCAGCTTTAGCGCCACTCAATACTCGGAAGTGGAACTGTTTTTTTGCTGGAAATTCATGTCAACACATCTCAGAATGAGAATTTTAATCATTTGAAGAACAAATCTGGTTACAACACGTGATTCTGTTTCCAAGAGTTCCAACTTCTTTTGTTTCTGGCGTCGGAGATCAGCCTCAGGTCGAAGAAATGAAACCCGTGACGCAGCTGAAGACGCCTTACAACCAAAATCTCTCGGAGAACATGCTCAACCGCCAGCTGACCCAGCTGACCCAGCTGACCCAGCTGACGCCGACGCCGAGCCAGCTGATGAGTTGACTGGGTGAATCTCGGGGACAGTTCGGTAGGTCCGGTAGGTAGTGCTTCTGTAAAGATCGATGAACTCGTGGACTTGATGAAAACTTGATGAAAACTTGATGAAAACTCTGGGACGCGACTTTCCGGCGTTAGGCCTGAACCAACTGCAGCAAGTCGAGATCCTTGAGATTGCCAAATGCAATCTCATCAAGATCCCCCCGTCCTTAGAGGAGCTGTGGCCCCAGTGTGAGCACAGCATTCCAAGGATCGGCCCGTCCCACGATGAAAAATGATTGGATCAGGGGACCCTATGTAGTTGTGTCATAGCTTGGCTGTTTTCCTCAGACCTTTGAATGCAAAGGCAAACACCGTTTCACCCTGTTTCGCTTAGAGATTGCCGAGCTAGGTTGGAGGGTTTGATGATCCTGACCCTGTCCTACAACAATATCCGTGCCTTCGCAGAGAGATGGATACACTGGGAACTGTGAGATGCCTCCAAGGGGCAATATGGGAACCTCCAGAACAGGCTGTGTCGCTCAGTAGCAACAGCCTTGAAACTCGAAGCTTGAGGTATGTCAGATATGTATGTTAGATTCAAAATGATTTAAGAGGATTTGCTCTTCAAAGACACAGCGCTCTGTATTCTTGGTTTTAAATGCCGAATCTATGGTTTGAACTCATGGACACATGTCTTTCATGTCATGAAAATGGACCAACACCAGAAGACCATAAGCATTTTGGACAGGCCTTTCCTGAAGCGATCTCTTGGATTTCGGTTTTGGGTTGATCTGCAACTCCGGAGGGCTTTATATACAAAGTATCCCTGCAATCACCCTGTCAACAATCCATACTTGGCCTTGTGCCAGGGCACTTCACCCACTTGGCTCCCCACTTGTCTATCCAGGCCTTGCACCTCTCAATTTTTTACCATCGTACCGTCGCCGCTACCGTCGCCGGCGTTCCGGTGCCGAGGCAAATTCAATCCAGAGCTGGCCCGCTGCGAGGCTCTCGAGAGAATCGTGCTGGCCGCCGCCTGAGGTTTCGCCGGTTTCACCGGTTTCACCGGATCGGGGAAGCCGATGAATCCAAAAAAAAGGTGTAAAGAAGGAGCTAAACCATGGTGAACTAAAACTAACTCCCCCCCAAAAAAATAATCACAGGGAAAAAACATGTACTGGAAATGAGGCCTAGTTTCAGACAAACCCATCTTGGATGACAACTTGAATTCACCCACTTCAAAAAAACATCATTTGGCGGGTGTTCCTATGCTATACCACGACGTCTGGAAGGGTCTGGATGAAGATGGGGTGGTATTTTGGCATGGATAAAATTTGATAAAATCACGAATCGTAGGATTAGACCCTCTAGTCTGAACAAATTGCTCAAACATAGAGAGTTACCCTCAGCCGCTTCCTGGTTTTCCCTGTATTTGAACCTCCCATAAATTTAGGAGGGTGGTCCCACTAGCAATGTTTAACCAGCCAAAGATCGTAGCTTGAGGATTGGAACCAGATCGGCGAGATTGAGCCGGGCATTTTTTCAGACACAACCTTCCATCGTTTAGAGGCAGGGATGGCAGCAAAGGTCGTTCCGCTGAACCGTAAGCACCAGATATTGGAAGCTGATGTGAAGAGATATGGTTGAGGCTGCACATATAGGTTTTCCCTGGCTTTTCCGACGTGTTTTTTTTCAAGACCATTGACTATGTGGATGGATTGAAGGTTTGCTTAACACGCATCAAGCCCTGCGTTGTTTGGGATGGTTGTCGGATTTAAACCAATTCTTGTTGGTTAAATCCGATTCTTCCGGGTTCAATCCCAGTTTTTGTGGCGCTCCCGAACAACTTCGGCAGGTCATCAACCTGTCACACAACCGTCTCACCGTGTTGCCCAACGACTTCCCCCGCACCGCAGGGCCGGGGAGCCCATCTGTAAGAAGTTGCCATTCAACAATTGCTGCCATGATGATCTAAGTTCACAAAAAACACTTCACAGGTCGCAGCTACTGTGGAACAGGCGAATATTCAGAAAGCGCTGGTACTTCGATTTCCAGACATTGAAATTAATGCAAATTGAGGGTTGAGGCTTATGTTTGGAGACTATTCCAATCACAGCCAGCCGCTGCATTGCCAATGGTTGCGGCAGTGTGTTCTGGACGTATTTTGTCTTCAGACTTCCCCAAAAAACACTTAATTGGTGCTGCCTTTTAAGGAGAGGTAGACATCAGTTGGCCTGCCAGTTGCTGAGGAAAGCCTTAAGCTATGTGGACCTGTCATACAACCAGTTGACCATGGTCCCTTCTGCATTGATGGAATGCGGGTACGCCCGGGACGGCCCAGTATCGTGATCCTTTGCGACTGGCAGATTGGATGCTGGATAAATTGGGGTTGACTAGGATAGCATGATTTGTGTCGCAACTGCACCAAGTAGCAGCACCTGAACACTAGGGACGATTATTACCCCAGGGTGATCAGGATGCTTGGACACCCAAAGCAAACATTCACAAGCGTTGGTTGTGGAATCCTTGGGCTTTATCATGGTGAAGATTATATTTTTCCCGCAGACACAGCTTGCTCAATTGCTGCGTAAGTCTTTCATTGGTCGTACTGTGGCCATGACAACAAAGAATTCCATTGCTGGGCATTTAAAATAATTTTCTAATTGGGCTTTTGTGTCGTATACCCTCTGGTAATTTAACATAGCTATTGAAAATGGCCATTTATAGTGGATTTTCCCATTAAAATATGTTAAATTACCAGAGGGTAGCTATTCTGGAGCCTGTTGGGATGGCTGGAACCGAGTTTTTCTTCGACTTTTGGACGGTCTCCGTCCAGGCAGTTGCGGGAGTTGAACTTGTCCCACAACCGACTCACCTCGCTGCCGGACAAGTATGAGCTGGGGGACCCGAGCCCATGGAGTGTTAGAATTCTTGGATCCCAAAATGGCTATGGATCAATACCTACCATTTTTAGTGGGATGAACATCCATAAATCCCAGCTATTTTGGGGTTCACTAGGTACCAGGGTTTTGACACAATGCCAAATGGGTAAAGTGCCCCCAAAAGAAATCCTCATTTACTGTATTTGGGTTTATGAAATCCTCAAAAAGACGTAACTTGTGGGTCCGTTGGTACACCAACTTTGCTCCATACTCAAATATCTCAAATGGGCATATGAAGATCACTGTATGAAGAGCAAAAGCGGGGATTTCACGATGAACCGGTGTGTGATGCTAAAAGTTGGAATGGGACCATGAACGGATTCCAGGTCCTAATGTAGTTTAGATGGGCTCAAGCTTAGCTTCAAAGTCCAATTGTCTATCATCGTTTTCCCTAGCAAAAAAAAGACACGTTGGGGTATCCCTTGTCTGGATACAAACCCAGATGGGTCTAAATGGGGTAGCCAGCCACCTCTTGCCTGTTCTATACAGAAGTTCGAAAAAACAGTTGGCCTAATTTCTGTTGGTCTGTTGATGCAACCTAGGGATCATTTCGGGAAGGAGTCACTTGACCAAATGCCAAAGCTGCACAGTTTTCGGGTTGGGTGGTGCAATGTCCAAGGGAACCCCACAGGAACCCTCCAAATCGCTGCCGAAGCGCTGTGGTTTTTGTTCAGCTCCGAGGCTGAAGAAACTCAGGAAACTCTTCTTGTCCTTCAACGAATTGCCGGGAGACCCGGCACCTGCCGAAGTCCTCTAAGTTTGTGACCGTCAAGACTGCTGTCCCCCCCAAAAAGTTCCCTGCAAAAACAAGACAACAAATGCCACTTAGCATTTTCTGATGGTTTCATCAAGTTCAATCACCATTTTTGACGGTAATATGCTGGCTTCTTCACAGCACGCAAAAACCGTGCCAGGGTGACTTTGCCGGAGGACATTGGCATCAGTGAAAAGCTGGAGAAGTTGCGGATCACTTCCAACCAAATCAAGAGGCTGGAGAAGAGGGACATCAACGGTGTCAGCTTGGTGACTTGTCTGCCTGGGACAGGCTGCCCTATTCTATCTTGAAGCTTTGGAAGAATGCTACTCCACCTGGTCAGCTTGAAGAGTGGGGGAGCTCGGGGCAAAGGGGGACTTGTGGGACAGGTTTTGTCACCTTTTTGGTGCTTGGATTGTCCCAAAGGTCCAACAAAAAGCCTAAAGTTAAAGTCTTAGGAGGGAAAGATAACATGCGTTTGGACGAATCTTGATCCAGGAGCTACTTTGAAGCAAACTCACAGGCTTCTAATGGAGTCTTGCACTCCTTCGTCCCAGGCTGCTGGTGGATCGAAATCCACTGCTAGTGCCAACCATCACCGCCTTTGAGATGGAAAGTGCCGGTGGCCCCAACGGTGCCAGTGCCAATGACTGAGTGAATCTGCGGTTTTTTACAATGCCATTAAGGATCCATTATGGACAATTATGAGATATTAATATTATGAGTTAGTGTAGAAGTCCCAATCCTGGAGTAAGTTCAGTTCAGGAATGAGACCTCAACAGCAGCATGTGAACATGTCCAAGTTCCTACATGAATCGAACATATATATATATAATAGATTATCAAATGATGGATTTTGGGGGGATCTCCCATAGTCCCAAATCTCTGCATCAACTCGGAACATCCGGTGAGTCAAGTCCTCATTTTCATTGACCAAGATTCCAATCCACAAGGGGAAACCCGAGGTAGTCCTAACGTACTGTACTCATCAACTGATGAAATCTCACCAGGCGCTTGATGACAGGGGTGTGACCATTCACCATGCCAAGGGCACTGGCGGCATGAACCGAGCCTTCGAGCTCTTGCAGGCGAAATGACCATTTGGTGACCACTGGCGATGTGCATAAAACAGTCCTATTTTGGGGGCTGCTTTGAGTCTTGAACCATCATTTTTCTTTTTGAATGTGGAGGGCCCACAAGAAAGGTAATTAGCCAAGTTAAATTTTATAATCTTTTGATGGTGTTGTGCGTTGCAATTTTTCCCCAAACAGTGTGCTCACACTTTGGGTTTTTTACGGTAGTGGTTAAGGCTGGGTTGATCGAGGGTTCGCACATACATGTTCGCCTTTTTTGGTGACCCTTGCAGGACAAAAGTTCCTGGTTCTTCCGTTTTTGAAGGAAGTCTTTGTGTTCTCGGCTGCGTGCAGTGTCCGTTTTTGGAGCTATCTGCCTTTTGTGTGGCAGGGGCAAGAGATTTGGCAGTTTTGGAGGGTCACAACTTTGTTTTGTGTGGCAGGCGCAGGACATCGGACACATTGCTAAAACATTGGCAGGCGTGGGTCACAATACGAGGTGCCGCCAGTTTTGTGTCAGGCGCAACATTTTGTTGACTTGGACGATGTTGTGAAAGCCTGCCTGTTGGTCTTGTGAGACTGTCTTCATTTTTCAAGTGAGCATGTTGAGGTCATTTTGACGTGGCAAGTGCAAGACTTCGGATGCCTTAACTTCATTTTTTTGTGGCATGCGCAATACTTCTTGTGAACAAACCTGAACATCGTGAATTGTACCGTAACGGAACTGTGATGTCCATCGTTGCTTCGGACGTCGATTTTTTCAGTCTTGCTGTGGCGTGGTGCTCATGTTGAGATCGCCCACGTGACCTCTTGTCACTTCCCGCGCATTGATCGCTCTTCTGTACGGTGGTGCTCATTTTGATATCGCTTGCACAACCTTCTGATCAGTTTGTCTGCGTCGGATCGTTCTTTTTGTGGCGCGGTGCTGATTTTAGTTCACTCTTAGAGATCCTGGCGAAGAGACCCTATGAATGCTCTAGACGGTCCTTCTATGACGATCTTGCGAGATTCTCTTCGAGGTCATGGCATAAAGACCTTGACCAGACCGTGTGGAAGTCTTTGTGAGAAGGTTTTGTGGAGATCCTGGTGAAATCTTCTAAGAGTTCCTTACCTGAAGATCTTGAAAATCTCCTGTTTTGGAGGTGCTTGCATGAAACCTCTCTTGGGAGGTTCTTGGAAAAGGATCTTGCAAGAAGAGGTCCTTACATCAAGACCGTGAATACCCCTGCGTCAGAGAGCTCTTAGGAAGTTCTTGTTAAACGACCCTATATGACCCTGCAGAAGGTCCTTCTTTGGTGATCTTGTGACTTTCTCTTAGAGGTCCTGGTATGAAGTTCTTGTAGAGGTTATTGTCAGGAGTTTTTGTCAGCCTCCAGACTGTTTGGGGTCTCTTGAAGATTCATTTTGGATATTTTTGGACTTTTATACAGTAGGAGGTAGACGTCGCAAGTATACAGTAGGGAATTTTCCGTTTCGGACCGCCTTTCTGTCTAGATGAGGCCATAGCAGATCCCTGCGACCGTGAATGGATGGTTCGTGCACATTTCTGCACATAGTCTTGGGATGTCTTGGGTGACCTTCTGACTGAAGATTGGTCTGGTTAGTTTCATCCCGATCATTCCTGGTCATCCGCATCGTGTCTGGTTATGGATCTGCCTTTCTCATGTAAACACGGACATCGCTTGATTTTCGCGAACCTACATGTCATGGGGAGTCTCATCTCTAAATTGGGAGAAACATGTTTTCTAATAGTTTCATTCCTTATCCTAATGTTTTGCCCTTGTTCGTCGGGATATCGCCATGTTTGGTTTGGCCAACCCGTCAATCCTATGGCAGTTGAAAGAAGTTTGCGGCCTTTGACTGCCTTCCAGGAACATCAAAAGGAAGACGCACAAGAAAAGAGGTGCGGCCAATGATCAACCGCCCCATGTTGTAAACCCTCGGATCCAATCTCTGCAATACATACTGAATTGAAACCCTGGTTTAGGGATCTATGAAGGTGGGTCGACAGGACTAGCAGGAAATAAATTGTCAACATGGAGGGTGAAACACCACAATTCCAAGGCGCTGACCCCTAGTGGAGTGGAGTCCGAGCGTTGGTGGATTGCTTGTTCGACGAGTATAGAGATCATGTCTCTGCAGCATGTCTCATTTCCTGAATCGAACCATGATCGTGATAGTTGTACAGAAAGAACTGTACACTGTCCACTAGTTGGAGTACGAGACATGATCATTGCACATCTACACAGGCCTATACACATCTTGCACATATATATATGTATATATATAATAGTAAAATACAGATATAGTACACATGTATGGATTTTTGATAGTGTATATATATATATATATACATACACATTTACATACACCAAAAAATAAGATCTCCGATATACACATCCCTTCCGCGTTTTGCGAGGCGCCTCTCGCAGCAGCGAGCCCTGAAAGATCAGGAGCCATGAATGGTGATCAAAAGGTGGAATATTATGGAAATAGAGGGATAGATTGGGGATAGGGGATGTATACTGGATATCTTTAGTAGTTTCAACCCTTCAACATGTTGATTAATGTAATCCCGATGCCATAAACATTTTTTATTTGGGTGGTAGTATTGGGGATGGTTTACAATTGGGTTTATCAGACTATAGGGTTTTAGGCTTAACGTATATAGAAACCCGCGTCGGTTTCTGCTTCAGTTGATTTGCACCTTTCAGAAGTGTATCTTTGTTTCATCTTACGCAGCCATTTACATGTTCATTTTTCCTTTGTTTTTTTTTGCTGTTTTTGCAACATTCATGATTTTAGGGTCCGGAAAACTAACAATCTAGATTTCAAAATTGAGATGTTGCACAGACAAATAAAGTCTTTCATGTTGCATCATCCGATTGGAAAGCTGCACTTCGAAAGCAGCTTTGGAAATCAAAAGACTTGGAGCAAAATTAGAGAAGACCAGGCACAAGCCAGGTTCGAGGAACAAGCCAGGCAATATGGAAAGAAAGGTCGAGGGCAGTGTTGCCAACATTCAAAGGAACTGCGTGAATGATTTGTGTGCTATATTTCTAAATATGTCCTTCTTTGTTGGAGTTGAACAGGACTTGAAATGGTGGTGAAAGGATGGTCGAGTCTGCCCAATAGTGATATTTACAATACCCAGGAATGTTCATGTAAACCCCAAGGGTCCCAATATATTGCTATCCTGCTCTGGTCATATTTTACAGTATACCCCCTGGTAATTTCACAGTTTGCTATGGAAAATGGCCCATCAAAATAGAAGATAGACCCATAAAAAAAACACCGATTTTCGATAGCTATGTGAAATTAGCAGAGGGTATAAATCACAGTATATATCCCAGTATGTCCCCATAATATCCCTATAGATCCCTACCTTTAGGTTAGGATATTTCAAAAGAAACATCCAGGAGGAGCGCCCTGCCCTGCCACCACCGGAGGCCGCAAAAGCCGTCTGCGAAACATGGGAATATCTGGAGGATCATCCCAGGGTCCTCGTAAGTGGTTCGTAACTGGAGTTCGTCCAGCTACAAATGGTATCATCCACTGAATGGCTACCCTCTGGTAAACTAACATAGCAATGGAAAATCACCATTTTTAATGGGAAAATCCACTATAAATGGGCCATTTTCAATAGCTATGTTAAATTACCAGAGGGTACTTACACTTACTAACCAGGGTGATGAACCACTTACGAGGACCCTGGGATGATCCTCCAAGTAGTTGGGAACCATTGGTGCTTGAGGACGCCACCGACATTTTTGGACTCAGAAAACGAGGGCATATTTAAACAGCAAGACTTGGGGACTGGGCTAAGGCATTGGGGGAACCAGGAACCTTTCATTCTGGGACATGCTGCACCACTTTTTGTTAAGAAAGTGAAAACCTCTCGGATTGTCTCTAGCATCGTTTGTTTTCCAGGGATTCTCTTCACTTTTCGAGACGTTGGATCAACGCTGCTGGAAATTCACAATTCCTTCTGCGTGAGCACCAAGTTGAGATGGGCTCATGTCTAAAGTAGATCAGCCAGATCTGATTTGCTGCCTATAATTGCATCATGGATGGAGGGATGGTTTGGTGGGTTTCTTGATACAAAAAGCGTCGTTGCTGGATGAATATTCCGAGGACTCTTACCCGCTTATATATCAAAGACGAGGTTGGTGATGGAGGTATGTCAACAGGCACAAAGAACTGCTGAGATGGACATGGAAAAAGATCTGGCCGACCGAAAATGCCAGGAGCCCATCCCTGAGCCAATGGTGATGGTCGCAGACACCGCCACTGCCCGAAAGGAGGACGTTTGCTTAGGTGAAAATTGTGGATGAACCCCCCCAAATATGGCAATTTTGATGGAACAATTGAGTTTTGAAACTCAAAACCTTTGCAGTTTGAACTCGCCAATTTTCACACCCCTTTTATAAGTGCTGACCTTTGCAGTATGACTTACCAGTTCCCCGGGCTTAGCCTGTCGTCCCATCACTTGATGGCAGGAAAGCTTTCTGGATCGATGGTATTTCGGACATTGTCTTCATGATCAGGTGGGCAGAGCAGATCGGATTCCAGCTCCAGGACATTTTCTTTTTGATCAGTGGGAGATAGATTTCCAAAATCGATTTCGAATTGACGTTTTTTTATTCCATGGTTTCCCAGAAATTCAACCAAAAACATGAAGAAACATTAGATCAAACAAAAAAAATCTTTCGCCCGGGAGTCTCTGGATTTTGCAACAGGTGAAAGTGATGGAGATTCGTGAAGCAGAGGAGAGATACCTTGTGAGAAAGAGGTGCACAACGATGTGGTGGTGGTGGTGGTGACCCCAAAATAGCATGGTTTCGCTGTTTGAGCAGGATGTTTGGAATGAGCTTAAGGCATGAGAAAAACAGTAAACAACTGGCAAATAATTGAAATTGCCCCAGTCAAGCGTGGCTATGGAACATCCACCATTTGAAAAAAGTGATGTTTTTTCCCAGTCAAACTCCATATTTATAGGGGATTTTCCGTTGCCACGTACCTGGGGACATGTGGCATATGTGGCCGGGAAGCGTCGATTCTGGAGGCAAAAGTTCATGGAGGCTCAGAAATGGCTTGCACAGGCACATTTGCGGGAGAGGTTGATTTCTGTTGAAGCAAGGCATTTGGTGGATCCCTCCACCAGTTGCTGTACATACAGAACTGAGTCCTTTTGGTGCCTGGCTTCTGTCACTGCTCGTCCAGCCTCAAACGTTGTTATCTCATGCAATTTCTCAGCGCCGACAAGCCTTGGCTTGGCAGGTTGATGGCTTGTTTCACATGAATAAAACTTATAAAACCATGATGCGTCATGCACCAATGTAGAAACCTCCCAATAACATCAACTTTTTCCAGGCTATTTGGAGGGTCGGCCACAAGGGAACGTCAGCTGATCAGCCTGACAGGAAGAGGGAGAGTCACGAGGAAAGGTGTCGGACCAGATGAAGGCACATGGGGCGCGGGTGGGCCATTAATGAGTCCTGATACGTATCTGACAATTTTGCAGCGAAACAAGTAGACTTTGATTTTGATATAAAAACCAAGGTATTTTAGCGTTGCCGAGGTGTTTTTTTGGGGAAACTGATAGCCAAGCCACTGACTATGTTCCCTTTGGAAGTCCTTCAACTTGAGACTGAGTCCAGGCCTGGAAAATGGGTCAAGTTGCCACTGATTTTCACGGCCCTCTGCCACTGCTAGATCTTCCTGAACAACAACTGCTACCAAGAGTACCGGGGTCGCATCAAGACGCAGGCCCTGGGATTTTCAGCTTCTCAAACCTTGGGGCTGAGATTGGGAACACTTCCAATGCCCATTTTGCCGAGATTTCTTTGATACAGTATTCCCAGAGATTTGGGAGTTCGAAAGTAATGCCTTGAGGCCTGGCCTCTCCGCGCAGGACATTGATTTGTTCTACATCCACTTCATGATGACGGCCAAACAGGTGCATGAGTCGGCGCGTGCTTGGTTCAGGCCCGGGGGTCCTGCTGAAGATTGGCTTTTCGTGTGTCTGTCCCAAGCTATCTCTGTTCTTGTAGGTACTTTAGTAAGACTTGTAGAAGAAGTGACCCAGTGACCCAGTGACCCAGTGACCCAGTTTGTTGGTGGCTCGTTGGTGGGACATTTTGCAGCCCCAGATGAATCCATGGATATTTTGATAATGAAACGGTCACCTTTCTCAAAGGTGAGGTGAGCCCAAGGGATTTGACCCGTCTTGACCTGTTTGAATTGTGAATTGGCTTGGGACCAATCTTTGGGGAGAGTGGCAGTAATGGAACAGTTTTAGTTTTAGTGGGTGAGCTGCCTCAAATTTTGCCCTGCGCCACTGAGAGCATCAGTTATGCCTCAGGGATAATTTCCAACCATTGCCTAGATTCTAGACTGGTTGTTTGCCAAAACCACTGTTTCCATAGTGCTTTAAGAGATGATATTTTCCATTTACCAAACGAAATTATCCATTTACCACATATATATATAATATAATATAATATAATATAATATAATATAATATATATATATATAATATAATATATATATAATATAATATAATATAATATAATATAATATAATATAATATAATATAATATAACATAATATAATATAATATAATATAATATATATAATATATATATAATATTATATAATCATATATACATATATTGTGTACCAAATGGATCTATTCTGCCACGTGGAAATTAGACATAGTGGTCTAAGGCCAAGTGTCAGCCAGCATCCGGTTATGGGCAGGAAGTTTGTGCCCGGCGGCCGGAGCTACATGACGAAGCAGGAATGGTGTGAGCTGCAACCTCAAAGGTTTCCAAGAAGGGGCCCCGCAGGTGAACCCCGAATGGCCAAGATGGTAGTTGATTTTGGTCAATTTCGGGCTTTTGGAATTTTCTTTTAACGGAAAAACAACAGCACAACCTGACAACTTCGGAAAGTCAAACATAGTCAAACATAGTCAAACAGCTAAGTGGTGATAGTTTTGCTTGAACGAACTTCCACAATCCAGTCAAACTGAGAGTTTCGAGCCATTGGAATCACCACTTTTGTGGCCAATGCGCGCCTTTTCCGCGCATTGAGGCTGTGCTTGAATCACAAATTGGACGTGCGGCAAAAGATGATGGACCAGAGTGAGGGGGGCCAGACGCTGCTTCACCGTTCACCACCCCCCAATGAGAGGTGGGTATGGATCAATACCTATTAATACCATTTTTAGTGGGATGAACATCCATTTACCAGCTATTTTGATGTGAACAAAAGGGGTACAAGGTCCAAGGTTTTGACACACTGCCAGGTGAGTTGCACCTCCAAAATCTCTGGTGTTTTTTTCCGCAGGATGAGTTGTGGGACATCATCTATTCGGACAGCATCCATCCGCATGGTCTTCCTGAAGCTCACTTCATTGCCGCCTCCCAGATCCACGATATCGAGGTGCAGCTCCCCCAAGTTTTTGGTTCAGTAGCCACCAAAGATCCTCCAAGTCAGTTCTTCCTACAGGAGCGGGATCCCTACATTGTCCGCATCGCTGATGCACTCTGCTTGGACTATTTCGTGCCCTTGGCTGCAGAACTGGATCCATCATTTGGGTTTGGGTCAAGTCATTTCTAGAATCAGACACCATCCTTTTTGATCCATTTTGGGGAGTTGATCATTTTGACCCAAGGACCCAACGCCTATTTTTGCCCGTTTGGTTTGTTAAACCCTTCATATTGTTGGGACATGTTGGGGATGACGTTGAAATCTGGGGCAGGGCCCGAGCCTTCCAGCAGTGACAGGAGGAGACAGTGGACAAGATTGCGGAGATCTCTGCACCCAACAACGACAACATCGCGGAGCGGCTGGGGTGGCGACCATCCATTGGACATGGAGGGAACAGACAATTGATTCTTCCTATTCTTATCATTGTCATTCTTATTCTTCTTATAATGATTTTGAAAGTTGATGCTTAGTCATGGGTCAGCCTGAACTTTGTAAAAACGATCATCATAGGGTTTATGCTGTTCTTGTTTGGTGTGTCTTTGTCAAAAGGTACCAGATGTACCAGGGTACTGGGGCAAAGTGACCGAGGCTTTCAGGCAAACAATTGGCTCATCTGGGGTTGCGTAGATAGACATGACCACGTACCTTTGATTTATCAGTGTATGTATGCTTCAATCCCCAGCAACCAGCGAGGATCATGATGATGGCAGGTGGGTTGCTGCTGGGTTTCCGGTTGAAATTTGTTTCCACCTCATGAGGACATGGTTGAAGAATAGGGCACGAAGGACCATCGCTGTCCGATAGTTGAGGCTCTATAGGGTGCCAACGATTGAGGTCTTGCCATACCCTCCGTTAGGTTGTTCAAGGCCAACTTGGCCTTGTGTCCTCTGAACAGCACCGATAGGTGGCAAAACCGAAAAAATGTGTTGATCAACCTGTTCTTTTCCTGTTCTTTTCCTGTTGATATCTTGGGAAAATGTTGTGACTCTTCGGGTTTGGGGATAAACCCCCGTGATGAACCGACGTCTCAACCTCGGTCAGTTACACCCCATGGATCATGGCTCCAACGTAACTGTATAGATATCTAAAGATATATGGGTATAGGTCAAAACCCTATACTATACCCCTGGTGGACATCAAAATAGCTGGTAAATGGGTGTTCATTGCCCTAAAAGGTATCTATAGGTATTGATCTGTAGCCATATTGGATCTGAGCCATAGAATGACAACCCTCATACTGCCCGCAGGCGAGATCTCACAGACGAGCTATCTGCGCCTGTGGGTTTGAGACCTGCCAGGGCCCCAGGACGTGGTGTCGGCAGCGCTATGTGGCCATTTTCAGGGTTTTCCATGACAGCAACCCTCAAAAAGATAGATTTAATCGGGATTTAATGGGATTCATGGGAACATCATGGGTGTATACTGGGTATATAATGGATATAATTGATATACCCTCCGGTAGTCAAACGTGGCTGGCTGGGAAATCACAATGAGAAATCACCCGGTCACCAGAAAAGACCGGTTGAAGATGTTCTTACCTGGAGTATCGAAGGCAACAATATTTGCAAACCTGAGAGCACGATCTTATTTGAAATCATATGATATAAACATGGGGACTTTTCTCTGGATTCACCTGATTCTTTTGGTGCAAAGCGCTGTTTGTGTAGCAGTGGGAACATACATTGACTTCATGTTCGTGATACTCATATCAGATATGTCATGATATATCATAACCCCTGGTTTCATTGGGAAATCCACATCCCATACAATCCTCCAACTTTGGGACCCCCAACTTTGGAACATGCCCCCACTCCACTGCAGCAATGCTACCAGCGACCCTTGGGTTGTCTTCCAGGCTACCGAGCAGTTAACGCTGCTGCGCCCTGGCGGGGCCATGACTGGTGCCATGGATAGCACGCTGGAGCTGAAGACCTTGCTGAAGAAGGCGCCGGAAGGGGCCATGGACAAGTTAGACAAGTTACGACGCTTCTTTTGCCGATGCTTCTCAGGTTCTCCCCCAATTTTTCTTAGGCCTTACATTTCCCCGATGTCTGGAATCCTGTTCATGATGTAACCTGACCAGAGCGCACATGTAGTAAAGCAGACCAGCTGGCTTCCAGCTGGGACATGACATTTTGGTCACTCATCCCGGGATGTTGTGATCCGATGTTGCTATTGAAAATGACCCATAGAAATAGTGGATTTTCCCATGAACAATGGGTGGATCTTTCCATAGTTTTTTGTAAACGTTTACCAGAGGGTAATAAAATGAGAATCCACTGAATCCTTGGTTGATTTTGGGTGAATCCTATCTGGGAATCTAGCCAAATTCAGCCGGCTTCGACCAGGTTGACCGTCCGATTAAATTGACCCCAATTTCTCAGAGTTTATCGTGCGTCTGTTAGGTCTAAAGACCCAGTTTCCGTTCATTTGTCAAAACCTGATTTTTGAAGGGTTATGTTTATCGTTGTTTCTACTAAATCATTGTTTCAAGTATGGTTCCCGCAGTGACTTGCAGCCTGTGGGATTACCTCAACCTGGGGTTATAGGAAAGAAATATCGGAATGAAGCCCGACGAGTTTTTTTTTCTCCGGTCGGAAATCTCTCATGGAACCTGGGAAACGATTCGATTGGATCGTTGAGGGGATTTGTCCCACCCTGCTCATCCCACAGAGTAAGTGCCGTTGGAGTCGTGTCTATTGATCTATCTATCCATCTATCTATCTGTCTGTTTGTGTATCTAATCAGAATCTAATTCTAGATTCTAAATCCAAATCTACATCAGAATCCAAAGCTACATCCGAATCTAAATTTCTAAATCTAATCAAGTCATATCAAGTCTATTTATCTATCTCTTATGTACAGAAATGCATCCAAGATTGGCATGTCTGCTATCCGGCCATCCCCTCGGGAGCCAGTCAGGTGAGCCTGTCCGAGTATGACTGTCAGCAAGTGAACAAACTGGATGGCATTGAGGACAGTGAACTGGACAGTTATATATCTGGATGGGATTCCAAATCTGATCTGCTGCTGAACTGGACAGTTTTTTCTGGATGGGATTCCAAATCTGATCTGCTTTTGGAACATCTTTTTTTGTTTGTTTTACACCAGTTTACACCTGAAAAATCCCACTGGAATTCCCATGAGCTCCCTCCACTGGAAGCTGACACCTCAAAAAACCCAAGAGGGCCATCCCAGGAAGGCCAACCCAGCATCTGGATTTCCAGCTCCGTTCAACCATCCCTTTTTTTTCGGCAAATCCCACACAAAATGCAGGTGAAAATCTCCCTATTTTCATCAAAAAATCCACCAAAGTCCCATTTCTTTCTGGATTGTTTCCCGTCATTTGTCGATATTTGTCGGTTAAACCAATTTTGCAAAGCAAGAAGTAATGTCGGGTGTCCTTTTCTTGATTTTTAGGGTTGAGCATCGAATTTACTACCATGTTTTCCACATGTGCCACGGTCAAAAGATGGATGATGCACCCATATCGGGGGATTATCATCAATCCATTAAGTTCAGGATTTATATACCACAAAGGAATTCCGCATGTGGGATAACCAGAAACCATGTATAATTATGTATATATATATATCTATCTATCATATATATTCATATATACATATATCATGAAGATATATATAGATATATATATAGATTATAGATAGATAGGTATATATCATATATCATCTATCTATCTATACCTATCTACCTATCTATCTTGGTCGGAGCCCCAGGACCGCAGTGTGGCGGAGTCCGAGCGCTCCGTGGACTCTGCGGAGCTCTCCGACGACGCGCCGTCGGACATGACGGAGTTCGATGCACCTTGGTGATGTGACGACGGCGGTGGTTGAAACACTGGGAAAAGTGTTTTTCAGCATGAAAAATGGGACATTTTCCAACAGAAACAGGGTTTAACCGTTTAAGCACAAGAGAAATGGAGATTGAACCAACACAACATGTAAGTTGATCAACAGGAAATGGGATTCAAATGACAAAATTAGGGTTTGACTCCGAGACAAATGGAGGTTTCAGCATTAAAATATAGGTAATCCAAATGGTGAAGGATATTTTGGTATTGGTACTTCCATCTTTGGCCATAGATTAACGTATTGACTAGCTAAGAAAATATTTCCTTCAGTGTATCTAAGAATTGGCCATGGTGGATGTAGCAGGAGAAAGGAGGAGGGATGTGAGTGTTGTGACCGTCTCTGTACATGTGACTGTCGATTGTCTCCCTTCTGAGAAAATCACATTGCAAAGCGAAACCGATGCTTTTCGTTGAAAGGAACACCAGTTTCATTCTTCATTTCTATGATTGCCAAAAAAAGTAAAATAGCGGTCTCCGGGAAGTGTATATATATATAATACCCTCAACTACTGAGGGTCTAATATACATGACCCTTAGGGATTTCCGAATGGAGGGTCTAGACTGGTGCCCAAATCATTGTAGACCTTTGTGTTGGTTTCATAATAGACCTTTGACTTGTACGTCCGTATTTTCACGTTAGACCCTGCGAGCTTTAGACATTTTGACATTGGGAAATCCATGTCAGACCTTTTGCCAATATCTTATATGTTCAAATGGATTTATCCTGGAACATACTCTGAGCTTTACTTCTGGAAGCGCATGCAAACCATTAAGCATTTTTGCCTTTAAAAAATCAATGAAACCAAATTAGAGTTGCGGGAAATGCATCTGGGTCTGAAATGAATGGTTGCCAAGCTTTCCCGGTGAGAGGCTATCGCTGACAGTCCCAAATCTTAGACTTAGACCCTTTGGGATGGTTCTGAACTGGTTCCCCAAAAGCATTTGCGTCAGTGAAGCATCGCCAACAGCATGTGACTTTCATTCCAGACCCACTGGATTCCCCAAAAGATCATTCCAAAACCAGTTCCAAACAGAATGCAAAGTCTGCCTGGCTGGTCGTCCATGCTCGCATCCTTTCCTGTTCAGAAGGACTAGGAGGACCCCTAAACTCTAAACCACACAACATCTCAAAGGTTATTGGTGGATGTTGAGCAAAGGAGTATCTGGCCAACATGCTACAACCCATGAGAAAACAAAATCCATCCAAAAATCAGGAGCTGGAAATGCATCAGGGTCTGAAATCATGGTTGCCAAGCTTTCCCGGTGAGAGGCTATCGCTGACAGTCCCCAAATCTTAGACTTAGACCTTTTGGGATGGGTCTGAACTGGTTCCCCAAAAGCATTTGCGTCAGTGAAGCATCGCCAACAGCATGTGACTTTCATTCCAGACCCACTGGATTCCCCAAACGATCATTCCAAAACCAGTTCCAAACAGAATGCAAAGTCTGCCTGGCTGGTCGCCCATGCTCGCATCCTTTCCTGTTCAGAAGGACTAGGAGGACCCCTAAACTCTAAACCACACAACATCTCAAAGGTTATTGGTGGATGTTGAGCAAAGGAGTATCTGGCCAACATGCTACAACCCATGAGAAAACAAAATCCATCCAAAAATCAGGAGCTGGAAATGCATCAGGGTCTGAAATCATGGTTGCCAAGCTTTCCCGGTGAGAGGCTATCGCTGACAGTCCCCAAATCTTAGACTTAGACCTTTTGGGATGGGTCTGAACTGGTTCCCCAAAAGCATTTGCGTCAGTGAAGCATCGCCAACAGCATGTGACTTTCATTCCAGACCCACTGGATTCCCCAAAAGATCATTCCAAAACCAGTTCCAAACAGAATGCACAGTCTGCCTGGCTGGTCTTCCATGCTCGCATCCTTTCCTGTTCAGAAGGACTAGGAGGACCCCTAAACTCTAAACCACACAACATCTCAAAGGTTAGTGGTGGATGTTGAGCAAAGGAATATCTGGCCAACATGCTACAACCCATGAGAAACCAAAATCCATCCAAAAATCAGGAGGTGGAAATGCATCAGGGTCTGAAATCATGGTTGCCAAGCTTTCCCGGTGAGAGGCTATCGCTGACAGTCCCCAAATCTTAGACTTAGACCTTTTGGGATGGGTCTGAACTGGTTCCCCAAAAGCATTTGCGTCAGTGAAGCATCGCCAACAGCATGTGACTTTCATTCCAGACCCACTGGATTCCCCAAAAGATCATTCCAAAACCAGTTCCAAACAGAATGCAAAGTCTGCCTGGCTGGTCTTCCATGCTCGCATCCTTTCCTGTTCAGAAGGACTAGGAGGACCCCTAAACTCTAAACCACACAACATCTCAAAGGTTCACTGGTGGATGTTGAGGAAAGGAATATCTAGCCAACATGCTACAACCCATGAGAAACCAAAATCCATCCAAAAATCAGGAGGCGGAAATGCATCAGGGTCTGAAATCATGGTTGCCAAGCTTTCCCGGTGAGAGGCTATCGCTGACAGTCCCCAAATCTTAGACTTAGACCTTTTGGGATGGGTCTGAACTGGTTCCCCAAAAGCATTTGCGTCAGTGAAGCATCGCCAACAGCATGTGACTTTCATTCCAGACCCACTGGATTCCCCAAACGATCATTCCAAAACCAGTTCCAAACAGAATGCAAAGTCTGCCTGGCTGGTCTTCCATGCTCGCATCCTTTCCTGTTCAGAAGGACTAGGAGGACCCCTAAACTCTAAACCACACAACATCTCAAAGGTTAACTGGTGGATGTTGAGGAAAGGAATATCTAGCCAGAACTTGCTAGACCCCATTAGAAACCAAAAGCCAAGCTTTACTTCTGGAAAGCGCGTGCGGGAAAAAGACAAGCTTCGAGCTCTAGACAGTGAGGTCAAGGTTGAAAGGTCTAAACTGAAAATCTCGATCAACATGGTCTTTTGACATGAGCAGAAGTACTTTCATGCTAGACCTTTGTCTACGGATCCCCCCCTTGTAGGTCTACTTTGATCTGTGAATATTTCAGAACAACTGAAGGAATAACATATCAGACCCCAAATGTCAGGGTCTACAATGAATTCCCAGGGTCCCAGGCTAGTAGTTGAGGGGATTATATATATATATAAATGTTGCTTCTCATGATTCTATGTTGATGTTACTGTTCAACATTTGATCCTTCATGTTGAGGATATTGAGGTGGGAGTTCGGGTGAAATCTGTGCTAAGATTCATCGTAGTTAGTCTCAAATTGATCGGCGTGAGCACGTGCTGTTCCCGCCAAGGTCTTTGAATGTTTTTTGTGTTTGTTTTCACTAGATTGGTCCTTACATTATTTTGATGTCAGTCGTTGAGATAGTGGCCAAACATTCGAGAATAAGAAACAAACACCACACACAAATGATTGGAGATCTGAAGGTACCCTGTTGTGATATATATATATATATATACACATTTATTATATTTGTTTTTCCCATGATGTTGGGCACAAATGCCCCCCAAATAGAGAGGCCTTGAGAGAATGGATGGGACTTGCAGCAAAAAAAAATGGTGGTTTGATCATACGTCTGTAGTTGATATGGCTTGGTGTTGGCTTAAGCAAGGCTCACGTATTGCAACAGGTTCAACGAACGAGGACTTTTGAGAACTATGGTAACTATGGCTTCAATATATTTTGTCCTGTGAAGCGCCACTATTGACCGTTTCATGCACAAAGTACAGGTTGATAAAATTGTATGAAAACTTAAGATAGAAATGTATGAACATTGATTGTGGTAAGAAATTGGACAGCGATGGGAGACTTTAACCCTATGAACGCTGGTGGGATAGAATAGGAACATGGATAGCACAACAACAACAACAACAACAACACCAACAGCAACAGCAACAGCAACAGCAACAGCAACAGCAAGAGCAAGAGCAAGAGCAAGAACAAGAACAAGAACAAGAACAAGAACAAGAACAAGAACAACTACTACTACCACTACCACTACCACCACCACCACCACCACTACTACGACGACGACGACTACTACTACTACTACTACCACTACTATTACTACTAGAACTAGATTTCTTAACAAAACATCTTACGAAGCAATTGAGCGTGAAACCCTCATCCAATCAAAATGCTGACAGTGAAATTTGGCATCAAACCTCCCCCAAAACCATTTGCACAAGAACGTGAACAGCGAGCACAACCATTCATTAAACATCAACATAACATCATACGTACCTACTTGGATGTGCTTTTCAGTCAGTAATTGGTGTATCCGCCATATATAATTGGGCATATTCCCCGTATAGCTAGGGGTGTTTCTTGGGATGTCATATGGTAATTTGGATGCGGAACATGAACATTCCCAGTTATATGGTGGAACGTAATATCATGTACCCCCTGGAAAATTAACATAGACCCTGAAAATGACCAATTTGTAGTTGAAACTAGTCTTCCAACCCCTATCTGCCAGGGTCTATGTTAATTTACCAGAGGGTATATAATTATATCATTTCCCCAGTGTAACGTTCCACATATGGTCGACTTCCAAGCGGGGACGCCCCAGGCTCAAGCCTTCCTACTGGATGAGTTGGAAGAGACCCAGGCAGCAGCCACCAGCAGAGCTCCCTCGTCACTTGGCGGAAGGTTTTCCCTCACATTGGTTAGTAAATATTCCCAATAGGAAAATGGGAAAACCATAGGAAAACCATAGGAAACCATAGGAAAATGGGAAAACCCTAGGAAAACCATAGGAAAATGGAGATTTACCCTCTGGTAATTTAACATAGCTATTGAAAATGACCATTTATAGTGGATTTTCCCATAAAAAATGTTGATTTTCCATAGTTATGTTAGTTTACCAGAGGGTAGTAAATATTCCCAATATCTAACCAGCAGATCTAGTAAAGGTTAGGACATATTTTTGCCAACAGCTTTGCCCATAATCTCCCAAGCCACAGTGTTTTCTGATTGGACCCAAGCATTTCTTTGGTACGAGCTCAGGCGTGTTGCCATCAACAGCGACTCAGCGCTGCGGCGGCTCATGGAGGCCGACTTTTCTTGTTAACATGGGGAACCCCCATGAAGGTTGTGAAGAAACCCTTGGTGATGCCTGGTGCTGCAGGTTCCAGTCAAGGAAATTTGGGAAGGTGCAGGGTGCGGCACGGGGTGAAGATGTGGGGTGTATATCCCAAGATGGGGGAACTACTTGAAGGTCATCAGTCATGGAAACTGGTTGGTGGCTTCAGGAGTCTTTTACTCTTCATCATTTTTTGGGATAATCTAGTTTACTTGGACTAGATCCTGGTAGGGGAAGCCAATTATAAAGGCCACCTTTGGACATGCCCAGGACGACGTCAAGCGCGAGAAGCGGTGGAGGTGTCAGGCCCCTTCAAACGACAGGTGTTGAACAAACCCCAACGAGGAAGCAGGACCTGTCCCGGGGTACCGTGTCTGGAAAACCAGGTGTAGGGTCCACCCTATCTGCAGAAACTATGGGATTTTGGTGGAATTTGAACCCTTTTTGTAGTCATGGTCAGCAAGTTTTCTGAAGTAAGATTATTTTCCCTTATATCCACTAAGTAAATCATTCTTGGGCAGTTTAATGCTCTGATCAAAAATGCCATGAATACAGGAATAGTCGGAATACAAATAACCTGCAACCAGCAGTATCTTTTTGCAGAGTATCCAAGCTTAGCCATGCAGACCAGGACTCAGGTGGGGGAGCTGGCCGTGCGCCGGGTGCGGGGGCTGAGGGGTGTGATGGAACTGGACCGCTTGGTGATATATTAAAGATCAGGTTATACATACCAGAAAAATGGGGGATGATTTTAATACAAACCATGCAAATTTCCCACTTCAAAGTGGGGGTAGTCAGAAATACTGCTTACGTCAAGTTACCTCTGGGAAGCTGCTTCGCCTCCATCTTTTCTCGATCTGGCCGAGGCCTTGCGGGACGTGTACCGCAACATGCCCTTCCACGAGTTCTCGTCCTTCATCAGCTTCATCTTGCGACAGCTGCATGCCATCAGGGACTGGCCATGTCGATGCTGTGGATGTTTGGAAGCCACCCGGGTCCAGCCTGCGATACTTGGCGCAAGCGGCTTTTCGAGCCGTGACCATGGGGATTTTGGCCGCAGGAAAACAAGCCCGAGACGGCCGGAACTTTGTGGCACGACGATGACCCAGCGCTCAAGCCTCAGGGGTATCAGCTCTGCGGGTCAGAAATGCACGTGCTGCACCTCTCTGCATGTGGCCAAGAAGCATTCCACCCGCAGACCCACAACTTTTGAGTATTTTGTGTCTTAATCTCCAAAATTGTGCGTTCTTATCCCCACTTGTTATTTGTTCAACCATGCCATGATTGTTGGTTCAACTGTTCCAGAATCAATTCCCTGAATTGATCATTTGAGTATTGACAATGAAGAATGAACATCTGGGTATGGGTCAATACCTATAGATACATTTTTAGTGGGATGAACATCCATTTACCAGCTATTTTGGGGTTCACTAGGTACCAGGGTTTTGACCCATCCCCATCTCAGAAACTCCGGAAATCAGTGTTGGATTTCCCAACACCCTTTGGGGTGTCGGTCGCTTAAGTGTGGTGTCGGTGTTCAGGTTCCGCTATGCAGTGGGGGCAGCAGGGCACAACAAGTACACCTGTCGCTCGGGGCCTCGGTAGTTCCTGAGTTCCCCAGCGAAAAACTCGCCCCCCACATGGTGGCCCAGGGTCACTGAGGGGTTGGTGGTTTGGTTAACGCAGAGATTTAGAGATTTGGATGGAGAAATAATGAGATTTTGATGATTGAACATAGGATTGGAGCGACAAATGTGAAGAGTCTTTTTATCTTGGATGATCCTGCCAATTCTGGGGAGGCCCACTCGAAATTTCGCGGCAGTTGGTCTGCTTGTCTTCCGATTTAGGAAAGGATTCTGTCCTTGTTTCTGTGAACAATCCAGGCCTTCTGGAGATCATGGGCTTTGTGCACCTGAATGACAAGTACTGGATCTGGCCCCTGGTTTGGGTGGCCCAGCGACTGCGGTGCATAAAAACAGCTCATCCCTTCACTTCACCAAGCGGCTTAGGAGCACCTGAAGTCCGTGAAGCACGGGAAATGCTGGGCACACTTACAAGTGCCCAGCGATTGCCCAGGGATGCTCAGGTGGGGATGCCGGATTTGATCCATGCCATCCAAGGGTCAAGGTCCGATAGGTCAAGCTGCAAAATATCCCCTCAACATCCCCAAACATCCCCAAAGCAATTCTAGATTTCTGGATAGAAGTGAGAACTATGAACACATATGAAAACGCAACAACTTTGCGGGATCCATTGAGATCCATTGGGCTCCTATGACTGGGAAACCCCAAAGTCACCGGCTCCTGGCTCGGCAGCACGCGACTGGGAGAGATGATCAATGTCTTGGCGAGCTGTGCCAAGCCCAGAGTTGCTGCTGGATCCCTTGGGAAAAACGAAGAAACTGCTATGGAAAATGGATGAAAATGGACCATGGACCTGATTGGTGGTGACTGGAACCATGGAATTTTATGACTTTCCCATATTAATTGGGAATGTCATCATCCCAACTGACGAACTCATATTTTTCAGAGGGGTAGGCTCAACCACCAACCAGATTTAGTTCGATGATTTACCTATTGCAACTGGTGATTTTCCATATCTTCGAGTCTTCGACTGAGGATAATCATCTTATCCAGAATTGCCAAAAAGTTTTCAGTGGCAAAGTGGTGGTAACATGGTGGAAAAATGATGGTATGGTGGTAAGGTTGTAAAATGCTGCATATTAATATTGGGAAATCCTCATTTCCAGAGAGAGGTTCCAGGCAAAATTTGGGTGAACAAACGAAGACATGATGAAAATTCTCAAGAATTATAGTGCTTTACGCAAGATGTGGGACCAAATGAAAAGTGGTGAGATTTTCAACTATAGCTTGGGTGCGACATGGGGATCAGCCAGCAACATCCAGCAACGGGTTATTTTGTTTGCCCCAAAATTCTTCAGAACTGGTCAATGACTTCAATGGGGTATGTGAAGTTCTGGAATTCCCTCGCAACATCATCTGAAACAGTGGATTATGTAAGTCTGCCATTCTAGGAAATCCTCATTCGAACATCTATACTGTAGTTGAAGCCATGTTTTTTTTGGCTTACGTGAAATTTCGACCAACATTTATCCCACTTCAGCAGTCCCCAGGCATCCAAGCTGTCAATGAAAAGGGATCTGCCTTCACAGGTCCGGGTCCGAGTCCTGCGGTCAAGATGCCCCTTTCGGGTCGATAGAACAGCTGAATAGCTGGAAATTATGGGGAACACATCATCGAAGCGACATCCTGGAAATGCAGAAATCGGATGAAATCGGCGTCTCTGGTTGTTTTGGGGATCACTATAGGATCTATAGGGATATACTGTATATACTATACTCAGGACATCACCAACAAAAATCCTGAGAGAATCTCTGTAGTTCTATAGCGACCAAAGATCTTGGGGGCATCAACACAGATTTTTGGGTATAAATCCAACAATTATGAGGTGTTGTATCAGCAAGGTACCTCATTACTAGTGGAGCTGATATATAGAGTATGGGTCGAAATTTGAGGTGCTTGTGGAACTCACACCTCTTGGTCAGAATAACGTGTCCCAGGAGGAAGCTTTGCCAGCAACACAACGCACTTTAGAATCAGAATACATGTCTAGAGTGGGTATAATCAGTCAAATGTTGGGGAATTTTTGGGTACCCAATTCTCCGTATGAAAGCTCTGGCATTTCTCTGACAGTTTCTACCCCCCCTCAAACCTCTGCACCGCGCGGTGCTGCGACTGTCGCAGGATACTTCCCTGCTTGATGGCAATCGCAGGCCGGGAAAATAGGTTTAGGGCTCTGATGTGGCCATGGCTCAAGACCAAATTGAGCTGTGTGTATGATAGCCATCCATAGAATGAAACAGAATTGTTTTTGAACTCACTCTATTCCAAATTGTGGTCTGACCTGATTATCCTTATTATTTACAGTATCCCAAATGAATATGTTCAAAACCTTTGTTGATTGATGATTACATGGGGTTATACTATCCAATATATTGGGGATTGTCACCATCCATTGTGGGGAATCCTATGAACCACATTTAGGCTTTTGAACACAGCTCACATCACCCATTCTTGATACTTCGATATGTGTTTGGTTTCCTCCCATTTTCTCCCATTTCTTTGGTGCAAGCTGCAGCAACTGTAGCTCCAAGCCTCCACCTTTGACCCAGGATCCCATCGATCTCGACCGGTGGCAGCAGCGTAGCTAGTTCTCCTGCAACAAGCCAGGAGGTTTCACGGCCCGAAGCTGGCCCATCCAATCACTGGGCGTGTCCTAAAGTAGTTTTTTCTAGCCAAGAAAGATATGCGATACACATGGATATGAATCGACTAGTACTATTGGATGAGGGATATGACGCGGGAAGAAAACAACTGGAACTTGCTGGAAATGGGCATGTCTCCAGCATTTTATGATTGGTTTCTCTAGGCTTGGACACACCCGGAGTTGTGCCGTCCGCGCCAGCTCCGGCATGTTTTTTCGGAGCTAGCTGGGAAGGCCAAATGGAGGTCCCGACCTTGCAGTGAGTGAGGGCGGAGGAAACGAAACACCCGCGCACGAAAAGGATGAATAGGCACCAATTTGGCAATATCCTTTGATCATCCGAGCCATTGAATGTTGCGTAAAATACTGCTCTTGCCTGTTGATTGATGGTATATACATATGTAGGGTGTTATCCTGGTTTATTGATGTTTATTGGGGATTCTTATACTGGGGTTTAATTTATTATTGTAGCCCATAATAGGGATGGATACTTATGGACCAAGCAGTAGAATGAGATGAGATAGGATTAATTTTCATGACTCATTTGAGCTGGCTGGCAATGGGATTGCCAAAGGGCATGTCCCAAAGTTGTGCGCTGCAAAATGGTAGGTTTCCCTTGTAATTAAGAACCAGATCCTCAGATATTAGTGATGTGGTGCTTCTCGCAATTTGTTCAGAGGGTCTTGTATCCTCTCAATATCAATATCATTCACCATCATTCAGCCTGAGTTTGCGGCCTTCACATTTTTGGCACGCCGCCATGTTTGCTGAAGGAGACATTTCACTGAACCATCCCCCTTTGGATGTACACATGGCAACTTTAACCGGTTCAAGTGTAGTGTAGCCCACTGTCAACTGCCCCTGCAGTTAGCCTTTTGAGCAATTTTTGTATGGTCAGCACCTCAATGGCTGCCTGTGAAATTTTCAGAGGGCCTGGCCACACAAAAAATAGGTTTCTGGGATGTTCTGATGTGATGCCGGAGTCTCATACATCATAAAAGCATAGCTTGTCTATAGATGTTTATAGGGGTTTACATCATCAGCAGGATGGGATGACGATTTTTCCCCACGCACATCCAGTGAGGTGGAGCGAGCTCAACATGAGCTTCAGGATAGTGTAATCCTCAGGAAGTTACCCAAGACCTGGTTTCAAGGGAGCATCTACTGGAAAACTGGTATACGAAAACATGGTTGGTTTCAGACATTTTCTTAATTTCAACCCTGGGACGATGCTCCAAATGAACTACAGTTGACTGTTCCCGCCATGGCTCACAACACTCAACTATTCTTGGTGGTTGAGTCAGCCATCAAAAATAGGGGAGTCACATCAGTATCAAATACTTGGGGTGCAGTTCAGGTATGTAAGTGGATATCAAAATTGCTTATAGTGGTCAGTGCCTCGCTTAGGCCTGCGTTTTTACTCGCTTAGGACTACGTCGGTGATATATGGCTACAGTCTCAATAGAAAGATGTATCGATGTATTTGAACATGATTTCAAGAGGCTTGTACATGTGTATTAGAGATGATCATCAGGTTGCTGCTGCACCGTGCATGTGTGTGTGTCGTAACATCTTTTGGTAATCCCTGCGCAGGCAGGCTTATCCGAGGTTCGTCTCGAAGTTTGTTGGCCAAGGTCCTGTTTATTCTTTCTCCAATGCATCTAAGTCTTGGCCCCCCTGACCCCAGAGTGTTGACAGGAGAAGATCATAAAATGTTGTATCCTTTTCCCGGTCCCCAGTCCCCGGTCCCCAGTCCCCGGTCCCCTGTCCTCCCCTAAAAGAATTATATAACCCTAAAGGTCTGTGTCCCATGGAGTCCAATGTGTTCGATGCTGTGTCTCTTACCTCTACTTGTTCCCACTGTCCCCGGTCCCTGGTCCCCTGTCCCCGGTCCCCTGTCCCCCGCTAAGAAAATTAACCCTAAAGGTCTGTATCCAATGGAAGTTAACCCTGAAGGTTGAAGTCCTCATCTCAAAATGTCGTCCTAAGTGAGTGAAAAAGCCGTCCTAAGTGATCCTTTGACCTGCTTAATAGTGGTCCCATAAATATTGCAAGAAACATGGGGCTTAAAATTCCATAGTTATATCATTATATCCATTAAAAGAAAACGTCTGGCCTGACATGGGGACCCAGGTGCTGCTCACGGATCCTTGGCCTGGGCTTTGCCTGGCGAGGCCGGAACCGGCTCAGAGTTGAAGGTATTAATTAGTTTATTAACGTTTATGAAATGGCTGAAATGGCCTAATCTGGATTAAAACAAATTCTCAGCTTTTGGTTGATCACATTTGAAGTTGATGAGTTATGTCAGTGATGTCCCAGCTCCTGCTGGTATTTGCTGGTTGCAATGCCTAGGCGCCAGCAAATCTAATCATTTCGGGGAGGTCTCTTCAGGTTCTCCAGTGGGTTTGTCCAAAATTTGGCACTACAGCACTACAATCTAAATCCACTGCTCAAGCATCATATTCCACATTACATGGCCATTTTGGGAGGTATCCATCCCACTTCTAGACACGGCATCTGTTGCTTAGGCGAGCAATCCCGTGTCCATTTTGGAGTGTAAACACCAGGGTATCCCAGGGTAGGCTTGAGTGACAAGTTGCTGCACATGAAGGTGTTGGAGATTTGTGGGTATGCTCTCAATTGCAGACTCCTGCATTTTTTGTTGGGTCTTCTTTGGTTTCAAAGAGCGATGTGAAAAATAAATGGCTCTGAATGGAGTAGCACCCAAAAGGCAGGCTTCCCAGCTCTCACATCAAAGCCTCGCGAGGCGTTGTGCTGTCGGGCAAGTCCTTCGCTCGGTGTCCTTTGGTTCGCTTCCAGTGATGTAGCGATGTTCCAACCTTCATCGCTGATCGGAAACCATCAGGTCAGGGGCAAGTTGATTCTCAGCACCAGGCGCAGTTTTTTTTTCCAGGGTCCCAAATTTGGACACAGAATTGGAGGGGTTTTGGATGGGTTTCAGAGTAGAAATGGATGGATGGCCACAATGTGCTGGTCGCGGTGTCCTGCATTTTGCCGAACCAGATTCACCCAACTTGTATAGTTTGGTGGTGAGAAATTGGGTCCCCAGTTCAAAGATGTCTGAAGAAACATACTAAAATACCCAGAATGAAGGTGTCACTGTTAAGATCTAATGC